GTGTGTGTGCGTGTGTGTGTGTGTGCGTGTGTGTGTGTGTGTGTGTGTGTGTGTGTGTGTGTGTGTGTGTGTGTTTTAGATTTTCCCCACAATAGCCCCATTCCACCCAGGTGAATAGATTCAGAATCAAAGCAGTCTTTGTCCTATTGCAGACAACGAGAGCATTTGAGATGTCCAACATATTAAAGCAATTTTCTAATTAGACAGTTTTTCGGTTGTCCTTGGGGTACCCCTTTCATTGTTCTTGCAGCTCCCCTTTTACTGTGCCTCTTACGCACAACGATGCCCACGTTGATTGTGGTCGCCCACATCCCTGTGTGCCTTCACGGCCCACTTGCACGTTGTTTCAGGAGGTGTGTGTGTGTGAGAGAGAGAGAGAGAGAGAAAGAGAGAGAGAGAGAGAGCTCATTGGACCACACTGGGGGAAAGGGAGAACACTACAGTGATGGGAGAGGAAGGTGAGGTGAGGACATTATTATAATTGAAAAACGAGAACAAGAAGTCTGAGATAAGGCTGGCAAAGTGTGGAGAAGAGCCAATCGAATAGACTGACCTGTCGATCCCTGAACTTCTGTGATCGTCATGACATGTGTGACGTCATCCATCACAACCCTTGCGTATCCGAAATCAGTAACCTTGGCTTCAAATTTGTCGTCAAGCAAAATATTTGCTGATTTGACATCACGATGAATAATCATGGGCCGAACTTGAGTGTGAAGGTACTCTATCTGTTACTTGCAGTTCATTCAACAACACGTACAGGAAGCAAAGAGGGGTGAGAAAATCAGCATTCTGTTACATCCTATTTAATAACTCTATGCCTTCGTTTCTTGGAAGTCCTTGACAGCTCATTGGAATCACATCACATAATTTGCCCCTGGTTGCATTCAGCTGTATTACTTCAGTGCTAGCTGAATGATATAGAGCTGAAGGCTGAGAAGATGACGTGTTTAATAGGTCAAGAGTTCCAAGTCCTTTCGACAGAGTCATGTCGATCATTTTCCGACGTCCAGTTCTTGAAGCTTAGTGCAATCACACCACATAAATTGCCCTTACGCTAACATTCAGCTGCATTACGCTAACACTAGCTGACTGGTATAGAACCGGATGCTGACGAGTTAACGTTTAACAAGTCGAGAGTTCAAAGCCCTTTCGTCAGAGTGACGTCAACCATTTTCAAATTTCCAACTTACACCCCCCTGTCTATTCTCACTCAGCCCTTCTGATAAAGTCATGTCAACCATTTTCCAACTTCCACCCCCCTGTCTATTCACAAACATAGGGGGGATTGTGAACTCTTAGACTACCGTTGTGCCCCCAAAATAGCAAGCCATCATCATGAGCATATAGAGGCCGACTGTTGGAGCTGAATTTGGCCTCCTGTTGAATCTGGATGCTCTTTTGGGGCGAGGGCCATTACCATGCCGGACATTCCGTCATATGCATGCCCAACGCGCAATACAATGATATCCTAACGCACAGCACTAACTCCAAAAATGCAGAGGACCGGTACCCCAACAAGTTCGACCCCCAACAATAGAGACCCGTATCTATCCGACGCCCACTGCAAAAATATGGCCACCTTGACACGGACGCAGAAACCCATTATGAGGGCGTTACTGACTCTTGATTGTCCACTGCGTGGACACGGGGAACACAGGGCTTTGCTTGAGAATCTGACTGCCCAGGACCAGATAGCGACAACCACGTCAACGTCAGACAACATGCACTAGATTTCAAAGAGTGGCGATTGACATAGCTCAGTATGGCCTGTCCCTTTGTAGCATATCAGAAAGTGAAATGCACTGAGAGCCTAGGATCTAGCAATGACGAAAGTGGGAACAACCAGCAGCATAGATGCAACATTCACAAGATGCCAATGTGCACAATGCAAGGAGTAAACCAACGAGAAAACAACAACAACACATTTGTATCATCATCATCATCATGGGCTGGGAAGCAGCGCAGCGGAATGCGTAGTAATCACAGGACACGTGGACAAACAACATGAAAGGGAGAAACTTCGGAAGGGCAAGACATCAGAAAGATAGCCCTTCCGCTCACACACATGGGGAGAGCTCCATAGACATGCGAGAGAGAAGGGGGAGGGAAATAGGAGGTAACCAAGTCCAACCCAAGTCTGATCTCCGGGTGTCGTACACAGTTCAATCCCACTGTAGAGTGTAAGTCCAATCTGAATGTCGTGTCCAATAAGGCAGAATGCCGTGTCCAAACAATGTCTGCAGTTACCTCTATCTCTACTCTGATAAAGAAGAAGAAGAAGAAGAAGAAGAAGAACTTCGGAGTAGGAGGAGAAGAGGAGAGGAGAAGAAGAAGAAGAAGAAGAAGAAGAAGAAGAAGAAGAAGAAGAAGGAAGAAAGCTAGGCACTTTCTGCACTTACCTGGCGATGGCTGAACTTGCAGGTACCGCGGAGCCAGCTATGGCGCTGGTACAGGTAAGTCCTCTTCTCTCTCTCTCTCTCTCTCTCTCTCTCTCTCTCTCTCTAACTCCACTACTCTCCTCGGCGCTGGACTCCTCCAGCGCTGTGCCTCATTGCCGATGAGCAGCGCAGCTGCAGTCTCGAAATAGCGCAGCAGGGAGTCTCCAAAATAGCGCAGCAGCGAAGTTCCTGAACCAGCATAACGCTGGATTTCTCCTGGTACCTTCTGTCCCCGAACTGGGCAATGGCCCAGCTTAAGTAGCGCTGGGCCAGGACTGAAAGCCCACGGCCTGCGTTCTGGACCGAGCAGATCGAAACTCCGATCCACGGTCCAGATCGCAGGCTTCGAAAACTGGTTCAGTCCTTGGCCTAAAACGGCCTGCCTGTGTCCCTACCGGACGTCCAGGCCCTGTCCAAGATTCAGTTTCCTGGTACCTGGCTTCAAACCGGTCCTGTGCGGACGTACCCGGCCTCAACGTCGGCCTGGGTCCGAACAGGTTCAAATCTGTTCGAAAACAAAAGAAAAAGGTCCAAACGTTTTTAGAGGCTCAGCCTCTGGGCCTGAATCTGGCCCTGGCCCTAAAACGTGTACCTGCCACAAAACGGACAACAGCTCACACGTTAGAAAAACAGCAGCAAATAAATAAAATAAAGACTATAAAAATAATCTAAAGCTGGCGTTTTTCTGATGCAGGCCCAAGTAAAAATGCCATAGGGCCTTCAGGTTGCGGTGACACGATCTGGGGGCCCTATTCCAACCTCAGGTCCCGTGAGGGGCCCGTGTGTAGGCTTTCAGCATGTAACACGCCCCCTCCTTATGAAGACGAGCCGGGGCGCRGGCGAAGCTGCCGATCCGATGGCGGAATGTAGCGAGGATGGCAAGGAGCTGGAGTGCTCKGCGTAGTCTTCCCTTTGCTAAGATAGCGTGAGAGAACGGCGGGGGCTGTGGCCTGCAGTTCCGAACGCGTCAGCCAACGGTCAGCCTTGTGGCTGCAGTAGGAAAAGTGAAGTAGAAACTCTGTTTCTTTGTTGCCATGGCGCCGGTCGGTGATGATGTAGCCGGCTTCCTGAAATCCGTCCATGGAAGGAGGGTCTTGCGTACGTCGACCGGGAAACTTGTCGGACTCCGCTGAAACAAAAGGAGCGAGTTTGGAACAATGGAACACCATGTGGACGGGCAAGTGAGGTGGCACCGCGATGTGGAATGAAGGCCCCTCGGGATCATCACCAACTGCAGAGAGAATGCGCCAAGGCCCCATCCACTTGGGAAGGAGCTTGCGAGAGATGTCTTGCTCAAGGCTGACCTCCGCGGCGGAGACCCAAACCAGATCGCTGGCGTGGAACGGGCAAGGTAGGCGATTGCGGTTGGCTTGACGGCTCATCCGTATTTGCGTCTTTGACATCTGATCCCGTGCCTTGACAAGAAGTTCTTGCATGCGACGAAGGAACACAAGATGGTCGTCGCTCTCGCCTGTGCACGGCAAAGTGGCGTCCAGCGGCGATGAGATGGGTGAACCATGCTCAAACTCGAATGGCGACATCCCGATAGTCGGATGGATCGATGAGTTGTAAGCCAACTCAACGTCTGGCAAGCGCTCAACCCAATCAACCTGGTCGGGACGGATGAGAGTGCGGAGAAGGACTTGAGCGGTCTGATGCACCCTTTCCGTTTGACCATCGGTTTGCAGGTGGCGAGCCGAACTCGGCTTCAAAGATGAGCCCCATCGCTTGACGAGGGCAACCCAAAAGTCGAAGAGAAAGCGAGTGTCCCGGTCGCAAACGATCTCCTTGGGGTAGCCCTTGGAGCGAATCCAACCGGTGTATAAGACCTCGGCTAACTCCGGTGCCTTTGCGTGATAGCGGCAAGGCAAAAACATGGCGTACTTGGTGAGGCGGTCGACGAYYGTGAGGATCCCATCAACGCCGGTCTTGTGCTTTGGGAAGGGGCCGGTGATATCCATAGCAATTGCTTCCCGTCGCCCAAGGGGCACTGGTAGTGGGTGTAGCTCGCCGAACGGACGATGGTTGCGTGACTTGCAACGCCGACAGACTTCGCACGACTCACAATAGCGGGTGGCGTCCTTGAGAAGGTCGGGCCAATAGAACCGTTGGCGAAGTCGGCCAAGTGTACGGTTGACACCAAAATGTCCGGAGGCGGGCGCATCGTGAAACTCGCCAAGAAGCCGTGTGCACAAGTGTGAATCACTCGGCACGCAAAGAAGATCCTTACCCCGTGAATGCACAAGTAACCCTCTTGGATCCGATAATGCGAAGGCACCGGATTCGGAGAGGAGCAATTGAAGTACTTGTCGCGAAAGTGGGGGTCGGCTTGATAGCCGCCGATGAAGCTCTCCCGCAAGTCGTCGTCGATCTCGAAGGTAGAGTAGACTRCGGTGCAAAGATCCGGTCGCCGTGAGAGGGCGTCCGCAAAACGGTTTGACTTCTCGGGAATGTGATCCGGGAAAAAGTCGAACTGGTCAATGAAAGCCATCCAACGGGCAATGGTACTGTTAATCGTGTCTTGCGACTTGTAGAATACCAACGGATTGTTATCTGTTACCCACCGGAATGCTTTCCGACCAAGGAGAAAATGTCGCCAACGCTTGAGGGCGTGGACGAAGGCAAGAAGCTCCTTCTTCCGTGCGTCGTCGATTGAATGCACGGGAGGTACTTTCTTGCTAAAGTACTTGACCGGGTGCCAGTCCGTGCCATCGTGCTGCTCAAGGACGGCCCCAATGCCATAGCCCGACGCATCGGTAGTGACGTGCGTAGCTAGAAGTGGGTCGTAAATATGTAACACCTCGGCGGACAAGAGTGCCGCTTCGAGTGTTTCAAAGGAATGGCGAGCATCGTCGTCGAAGTCAAAAGGCCGCTCCTCGCTTTGTAACTTGCTTAGGTTGGCCGCGATCTTCGAGTAACCCTTGATGAAGCGTTGATAATAATCGGCCAAGCCGAGGAAGGATCGAACGTCCGTCACATTCTTCGGCTCGGGCCACTCGTGGATGTCTTGAATCTTGTCCGCCAACGGACGAATGCCTTCCGGAGAGACAAAATGGCCCAAGTATTCAAGCTCTCGCCGGACAAACTCGCATTTGTCGCGGTTAGCTTTGTACCGAGCTGACCGAAGAGTCTCTAGAACACGGCGAAGGTGCTCGAGATGCTCCTCTAGAGTTCGGCTATAGACGAGGATGTCGTCTAAGTAGACCAAGACGAAGCGGTCCAACATAGCGCGAAACTCGGTGGTCATGGCCGCCTGAAAGGTGGCCAGGGCACTACCCACTCAAAAT